TTTACTGCTTTATCTTGCTGCTCTGTTTGTCTGCTGTTCATGGAGGTTTGGACACCACGAATAAAAGTAATTCCCTCCAGTTGTATAGTAGGCATCTCTATGCCCTCTCATTCATTCCTTCACAAATCAATCCCAAGCAGAGATTGAGGAAAGACGAGATTATCTTGTTAGCCAAGCTGAAGAGCAGGTTCCACGGAGCTACAGAAGCAACACAATTTCTTTCTGTAATCTACTCACAACCAAGAAAGTGAACAACTCCCAGAACTTAGACATCTTGGAAATGCTACTGATTGCTGGCTTTATTTATGTAATGGAAGCCTGAGATGTGCCTTTCACTTCAAGTTAGTCTCTTTCCTCGCTCAGGAAGGTGTTATTTAGGTGAATCCCTTCAGATCCTGTGTGGGGACAGTGATCCAACAGTTAGAACATTTCTTATTCCAAAGCAGCCTCCAGCAACATGTAGCTGGAATGGCTGGACACATGAGATCACATTCGTGCCTGAATCTGGCTTGTTGATGCAAGTTGCCCTTTTGGAACCTTTTCTTTAGTCATTCATGAAATGTGTTATTCATTCTAATTTTGGTCCTGTTAACTGTTAGTTAAGGAGCTTTTCAACCTTCACAAAAGTTCAACTATTCTGGATACCTTCTAAGCTCTAATTGTGCCGATTTTTTCCTCTCAAAGGCGAATTAATTCAAAATGTTTGAACATTTTTGGAGGATGTCATCATAGAGTTTTCTGAGCAGAGAGGCTGTTATTTGGCCTTTTGTTCAGATGCCTGCACAGTTGTCCCTAATGGTTTGAGATTGGGAGTGGAATCCCGAGAAACCTTCCCTTGGCCTTGTTAATGGCAGGCATGCCTAACTGTGAGTGTAGTATTGCAAGCAACACTAAAGCCACAAAGTTCAGGAAAAAGCAGAGCTTGTCCTACAAAGAAAAGAAAAACTGATTCTCTTGCATTCCAGCCTTCATCCACCTTTTTTTTAGGATGTAAGTAGAAGCCAAAAACTTTAGGATTAACTTGACAAGTCCTTAAAATCAACTAGTACCTCTTTACACATTGCATGCTCATTGAGGAATAGTATAAACATAGAGGCAGTTGTTAAAATTGCCTTGCCAGTCTTGTATCTGAAATGGTTTTGTATTACCATCTGGCTCAATGTGTTGACAGAAAAAAAAAGATCTATTAAGATTGTGTACTTTTAGATACTAAATTCCCAGTTGTTCAAGATCTAATTCGCATTAATATTTTTGAACAAAATATGGCTCATTGACCATATGAGTAACAATACTGAAAAACTGCCACACTTGATAACTACTGTGAAGAATGCATTTTTTTTTTCTTTTTAAAGAAAAAAAGGTTTTATTTTTTAAGAGGAGTTGGGAGGAGAATATACTGGCAATAGAACAGTGCTGTTTGCCTCTTCCTTCTTCAGTGTACCCAAATCTGACTATAAACATCTTATTATTCTCAATCATATTTAGTAGAAACCCGTTAGCATTGAGTTGTTACAGCGCCCGGTCTCCTCTGTGCTGTGTGTGCTCTCTTTGAGTCCTGCAGTTGCTGATCAGTTCTTCCACCTGCCAAACCAATGCTGTCAGAAGCTGCCGTAAGGAGGAGGAAGAGAGGGCCGCGTTTCTGCTCTCCCTTTGCTTTCCCTGCTCCCGTCAGTGTTCCCTGCCGGCGAGGGGGAGAGGACATGGGCCTTGCAGAGGGGCTGCCCCACGGGGTGGAGCAGCCAGTGAGGTAGTGTGGGAGGGAGAGGGCAACGTTTTGGTGCTTCTTCCAGCAGGAAGTTTCATCACGTCCCCTCCTCGCAGCCCTGGAAGCCGCTGTCACTGCCCTGGCCTCGTGCCCAGCCTCAGGCTGTGTTTGCAGGTTGCCCTTGATGGGCGCTGCAGCGTCAGTCACTTTGTCATGCGTGCAGTTTGGAGCAGAACTCGGTTTGGAGCACCGCGGATGTGCGTGTGCACACGTGTGCACAAAGGACTCCCTGTAATGCACACTTACGTACCCCAGTTATAAGTTCAAGATGGTACTTTTGTTTGATTGCTGAAATTGAAAATTCTACTGGTAGCAAAATGGGGCAATGGTAAATCAAAAAGCAGCTCTCTTGTTGGTGGAGGAGAGACCTGCGGGCAGTTCAGTAGCCGTCCTGGTCAGGCCCAGCTTCCTTTGCTGGAGGAGTCTGTGCTGGAATAATTCTCTCTCTCCTCTTCCTTTGTTTTCAGTCTTGTAAGAGCAGCAACTTACCTTCTTCTTTTTTTTTTTTTTTTTATCCCATGTCTTTTCACCATATTTCAATTATGTTACATTTGTTTTTATAGTTTGTATTGTTTTGAGTATTGCTGTTACACTTCTGGGCAGTTTCTATGCGGATCCCAAGGTTGCCTTCCTTCAGTGACCAGTAATTAACCACTGGCAAGTTGAGCTTGGGCACTTGGGAGCCTCTGCCATTTTCCTGTGCTTGTTTTCTCCCAAGCCCTGGCTACGATGGGCATATACTGCATTTCTATTTGTATAAAGAAGGCTGGTATTAGTAATAAAAGATTATGATTTATCTGAATTTACAGCTTTTCTTTCTATCCTGTTACAGTAATCTTTGGGCAGAACTCACTATTTCCAGCTTATAGTCCCTTTCGTTAGATTATGATGGCATAGGATTCTTTTTATGTCTTTTTTTTTTTCCCAAAAATGTGATGCAGTGTTATATTGATTCCTAGTTTATCTGCCTGACTTTCAAATAACCGTCTTGGATACATTCTTGCATTGTAAACTCTGAAAAATAGAAGATGAAGTAGCGCTTAAATCTGTTGATAAAACTTTAATTTAGAGAGTTGCAAAGTTTCCTGGTAATAAAATGATACAAATTTTGTGCTGAAATGCTTTTCTCAGAACTTTTTTTTTCCATTATATACATGTCATCTGTATAAAAATAAAACATTTGGAGCTTTCAAATCCGACAAACCTTATGGACATGAAAAAATTTACTGGGTAAGAAGTGTTTTCATGTGGTAACATAACAAAGTGTAGCACATGCAGAAATGCACATATTTTCTAAAGTTAAAAAAAAAAAATCACCAAGCTATTACCAAGCTATTTCTGTCCTTGCAGTATGTGTACAGAGTTTTATCTATATAATTTGCAAATGTCTTTTGGTGTAAAAAATTCTCCCTTCTTCAAGACAAGTCCATAATCGGTAGCAGTCATTTTCTAAGTGAGATGTAGCCAGCAATGTGAACAGAGTGTCAGCTCTCAAGCTTTAAGCTTCAGGTTTTTCTGTTTGGATGTTTCTGCTCCAGCAAGTCGTGCAGGACAGGAGGTGCGGGGTGAAAACGTTCGGTGCTGAGGGCTGAATGACCACAGGGCGGGCATTTGGGGGGGTTACTTTAGTCTAACTCTAGTCTGATCCTGCGGACTGAATGACTTTGAGCAGTTGGAGGACATTTCTGAGCTTCATCTAGAAGGAATCCTGCTGGGATGGTTCAAACGGTTTTGCAATACAGGCAAAGGTGCAGCCAGAAGGGTTAGCTGGGAGCTTCCCTCCGAAACGCAGACCCGTTCCGAGCTGAAATGCACGTGTTGCAAATGGCGGAATGTGCAGGCTGGCTCCGGCGGCGGCTGCCGGCAAGTGCCCGATGGACTCCGTCCACGTCCCGCTGTGACCCACATGCAAAAGGGCCACTTGTCACAGGAACTTACCTCGGCCTGTGTCACTCACTCCAGCACTTGCCCGTTCCCATCAGTTGCCCTCGAGCAAGAAAATTCTGTCAGGCTTCCAGTAGTGGTTTGCAAAAGGTGGCCAAGTTTTATGAGCTTGCATAATAGGCACTCGGAATATGTTTGGAAATAGCAGCGGAGCCGGTAAATTGCCTGCTTTAATTCTTGCAGTCTGGATAGCAACAACCTCTATAATCCCATTTTATATAGTTTCATGAAACATAATTTCTTAAAGGGTTGAGGAGGAGAGAAAAGTATTGGCTGGGACAAAAGGGATGAACACAATTGTATTTTGAACTCAGTGTAGGGCTACACGCAGTGAAAATGAGCATAATGGTTCATAAATAACTCCACAATAGATTATTACAAGTCGAATAAAATTCTGGAAAATACAACATTGAATTTCATTTAGCATTGTTAAATGGTGATCATTTCTAACAAATTTCTTGACTGTTACCAGTACTGTGTGCGACTACTACTTGTCACTGTCAAATAATTGTTACATGCACAAGTAGTTGCATGCCAAGTAAATGTGACAGTTTTTTGCAGAAGGGAAGAAATCTGTCTTCTTGTGCTTAACTGATTTGTCCATGCTGTCAGGAAATCCAGTTTTGGATCAGATATGAGTTGTGATGTATTTGAGTAGTGGAGATTTTCATTCAGTCTTCCTTTATAAAAGCTTTAAGTTTGAGAATTATTAATTTGAAATATGATGTTTATAATTTTATTTAGATTTTATTTAGACTTTTTTAATATAAGTATCATTTGCAAGATATTTGTATTCCTGACTGTTAATGAAACATGGAATTTATACTGCTTAAAAACAGCTGATCTCTTAATAAAAATGATATAGATTTTAATATTCCGATTTGAGTAAATTTTTATTATATATGCAAGGCATTTAATTTATTCTGTATTTGTTGTATGATGCATCCCCTGTTCTTTAACATGTTTATAGCTGTTTAATATGATATTTTTATTCCATGTAGTTAATTTTGAAACCCGTTAATACTGATTCAGAGAGGAGGTATAAATAATACTACTTAAAGTACCAAACAATACTACATAAAGTAACAAATACAATATTAACATGGTCATGTGGAGTAGAGTAAAAAATGATCTCACTGTTCAGTAGCATTAAGCAACTGGAATATTAAAAACAAAATATAACTGGCTCTATATTATTTTACAAGTCTCAACTATTTTACACAGATTTCCCAATAAAGATTTTATTAAAATATTTGCTTTATAAAAGCTACTGTATTTTCTTTTTTTTCAGAGCACATTCAAATTTAAATCTGAGAGTGACATTCACCTGGCCGAGCACCACAAGCAAGTGCTGTACGATGGGAAGCTTGCAAGTAGCATTGCCTTCACGTACAACGCGAAGGCGACCGACGCTCAGCTCTGCCTTGAATCCTCACCAAAGGAAAACCCTTCAATTTTTGTACACTCCCCCCATGCTCTTATGCTTCAGGTTTGTGTCATCTTTGTGATAGTCATAATTTTGTTAATTGAATTAACCACAGTAGAAAAACTATCATTTAGCTGGGTGCTGCTTCTAATTACTCCTTTTATTACATATACAGAATTAACAGATAACAAGTACATGCTTTTTCTTCTTTAAAGCTGTTTTTGTGTTCTCTGCTCTGTGTATCTCTCTGCAAGCTTAGAGAACAGCATACCATTGTGCTGCTAGGGCTGCTGTCCATTGCAAAGCTTTTATATCTTAACATTTCAGGGAGGAGAGTTGGGAACAAAAAGTACGTAATCCTCCGAATTGTTTCTGTGTTGCATACTGACCCAGTTCCTGTTCTGTGATCTCTATTAGCTCAGCATCACTTGGATAAGACAGTTGTTGTGTTGTTGTACAAAGAGGTCTTTGTTTTGTATTATTTCAGCTCTTAGTATACCTGTCACCTTAACTCGCCTTTTTGCTCATTTTCTACAGCAAAATATATTTTTTTCATTAAGAAACATGTATCTCGTACCATGAGTTAGTTTGCCATGATACTGAATTTTCTATTTACTGCTTGCCTTCTATTTCAGTGCACTGTAAATGACATGTAAATAATGAAACTAAGGTAGAACACATCTCATGTAGTTTTTACTCAGTTCAGAGTTAATGTGTTATCAAGTTGAGATTTGTAATTGTCCTTTCACATCGATATTAATTGAGATTTATTATTATTATTATTATTACCTAGGATGTGAAAGCTATCGTTACCCACTCCATTCACAGCGCAATTCATTCCATCGGAGGGATTCAGGTTCTTTTTCCTCTCTTTGCCCAGTTAGACAATCGACAGCTGCATGACAGTCAGGTGGAAACAACAGTTTGGTAAGCTTTTCCCAATCACAATATAGAAAAGAAATTCAGCTAACAATACTTTCAGTTCTGTTGTGGGAAAGTTTTGTTTGCTTTCTTCTTTTTTTTTAATGCTGTTACTTACGTTTTGCCTTTATTGCTTTGAGAATGACACTACCTTTGAAAAAGTAGCAACCACCTGAAAAGATTCCGGGTGGAGCCGGTCATAAGATTGACTGGATTACATAATGAATTTGAATCATTTCAGTCATTAAGGATAGACTATTTTTCAGTTTTTGCAACTTTAATATATTAATGTACTTTTACTTGATAATGCTCAGTGTATTTGTTAATGCTCAGTGTTCAGTTCATTTTCTTGCTCAAATCCAAGCTTAATAGTATTACAAATTTTATATATATATATAAAATATATATGCATATATATCACATTTATGCTAACATATGGGTGGAACATTGTGACCATATTTGAGTTGCAACAGTAGCTGTGGGTGCAGCAAGAGAAAATGGAACCAAAGGGAACTGCTCTGCCAGCGAGGAGCTCGCTGCAGGCTGCAAAGTCTGCACTGAAGCTGGAGAAATACTTTGGGGTAGCCTGCACTGCACAGCGTAGAGGTCTGTAGTAGAGGTACCAGTGCTTAAAGATCTGGTTAAAGATCTTTGCCACCTACTGCGTCGTGGCAGTGCCTTAATCTGGAGCAGCAGGAGGAGCCCAAAGTCCTCAATGTGCAGGAGGGGCCATGGACATCTTCCTTGGAAGGCTAGAAGGAGGTAATGAAACTGGAAAAGGGATGCTCAAGAGCAGGTGTGGTCAGCTCCCAGGCATGATGACAGGGAGCCAGAACCATTGTTTTAGGGCTGACTTTTGTGTTTGAATACATTTATAAAACAGAGGATATTGAGCAGCAACATATTGTATTCTGTTAATTCTTCTGTTTTTTTTATAGTTCAATAGTAATTAGTTAACTGAACACCATATTAAAAGCACCTACAATTTTGAATGAAAAAAAAACTGAAAATGAGACGATGACATATATCTCATATATCTCATTCTAATTTCAGTAATTAATAGATTTGTTAAAATTTTCCCAAATTGTCTGCTTTTCCTCTGATAAATGATTTCTAGCTAAAATGACTGTTGAAATGTATTTTCCATTCCTAATATAGTGTGAAAACATGTGTTTCAAATAACTGTTTTCTAGTACAATGTTAGAGAGATTTCCGCAGCCTTAAAAATAACTAATTCTACTTTTTAGTAATTCTGTTGAAAAAAATGTTGAATGTTATAGATAGAGAAGCTATTTGTGTATTGCTTTGTGTGGGAAATTCACTTTCACTAAGTTGTTTTGCAGTATATATTTTGTGTTGAAATATTATGAAGTAAGGGGAAGAGGGAAAAAAGATTTGATTTGAAATAACTGTGAAAAAAAATCTGTGTGTTTATATTTAGTGGCACAGCAATGGGAAAAATGCTTTATTCCAACTTAAGAAAGATTATATGTGTGTGTGTATGGATAAAATATATGTTTGGCTTGTGGATGAGCTGACTCTATAACAGGTGACAAAGCAGCAGCTTGCTGTGTTCAGAAATGGAGTGAGAATGTAAGGCGAGTTTTGGGAATGCAGCTGAAGCCCTCGGCTTCCTTTGTGTGTGGTCTGACGGAGTTAGTTGAACTGTAAGCAGGAAAAATATTCTGCCTGAATAAATTTATATTTATTCTAAATTTAGGTTGTATTCTAGCAAGAGCTGGAATTCATTATGCTCTAAGATGGTACAAATGTGTGACACAAAAAGATGTGTTGCCAGCTCAAGAACATAATCAAAAGACCTTTAAACAAATGGCTGCTTGGTGAAAGAGATGCAAGCTAAATCACCAAGCTCTTGGTTCATGTGCATTATTTTCTAAATTTTTTATTTAATAGGATATAGAGAGTGAGACAAATAATAAAATATTTTTAAGTGAACAAGGAAGTGAGCATATGAAGAGAAACAGATAAAAGATTTCTCAGGCAAAGAAAGATAAAATGGAGATCGGAAAGACAGAGAAAAATATGTAAAAGGAAGTGGGTAAAATTGAGACTAGCTGTTGGAGTTGATGGAGAAAAAAAGTATGCTTATTCTTACCTTCTTGTTTGTCCTTTTCTTTCTTAGATGCCTTCTCTTGTTATTTTTCAGATGTTGCTTCTTTCAAAATTCAGTTTCTGAACTGCATAGTTGCTTATGCCCTTCTTAGCTATGAAAATACAAGCATATTTACTTCATCAAGAAAAAAGGGCCAGATAACACTTGATGACAATAGACCGTTGCGTTTGTGAAGGCTTAGTACAGCTGTAGAATACATTTCTTGCTGGTGGCAGATGGGGGGCCTCAGAAGCTGTCTCTAGAACAGCTCTGCTGCCTTTCGTTTCACGTCTTGCTGGGAGGTGGAAAGTGTCAATGTCTTGACATGCCAACCTAAGTGCCATAGGTCTCCAGTCTATTTTTCTGAACCTTTCTTCTCTTCTTCTCTGCCACATTTATTAAAATTTGTTTAATATGTTCAAGTTTTCAGTTTTGGGGGGATATTTTTACATTGTAAAAACCTTGTCAGAAAGCTTAAAAGAAAACACTTTTTTATTATTTCCTTTATCCACTGACAACTTCAAGATTTTCTAAATTAATAGATTAGGTGTAAATATAATTTAAAATTATATATGCAGTTCTATGTGTGTATAATAATATAATGCAGTTCATCTACCTAGCAGCTTTTTAGTTAAATGCTGTTCTTTGTGGGTCTCCTTTTTTTTCCCTTGTGTGTTTTTGTGTAGTCTTACCCACATCTTTCATGAGGACAAACATTGATATATCCTGCAATTCTGACCTGAAGCCTTGTAGACATCATTATACTTTTGTATATTTTGTATATAATTGAAAGAATGGGAACTGAATTTGTGTCTTAAACGTGTGTTTTCTTATTTGATATGATGCTCCTCGTATATTCATAACAGTGGTCTATCATCTGGAAGGCCAAGACCAATACTTTCTGTCTTTCTGCTCAGTACTGAGGCTAGAGTAGACAATTTAGCAGTATAAGTTAACAAGATGCTTATATAGTAAAATAAAACAAAACAAAGTGTCTTTGTCTGTCACAGTACAGTTGTTATTTTTGATAATATCCATTGCTAATATACTAGGAAGGAATTTTTTCTTCATGTGTAGTCCATTTTTTTACATGTTGGAATTCATTTGAATCCACTGAGCATTAACATAAAGCTGATTCAGTCAAAAATATTGCATGAAATTTTGTAGCATCCCAATTCTATCACAGAATAAAGAATAAGCATTAATTCAAGTGAGATTGTGTAATATGTTTGGTGAAAAATCTGAAGTAGGAGGAACTATAGCTGTTTGCTTAAATACATTAAGACATTCCAAGAACAAAAATGAATCTTGCTTCTGTCTTTATGTGCTTGTTCTGAAGGTTACGAACCGGATTTGCTAGATCAGATGCAGTAGAAATAAAAATGAATGTAAATGTTTTTACTGTTCTTCACAGTACATAAATGTAGTGTCTAGCTCTATCTGAACTTTCTTAAAATGATATATAAAAGAAATCCTAAAATATATTGCAATAAATGTAGATGGCTTTTAATTTTGTTTTATTACTGACATTATTCTGACTCTTCAGTATAGTTACCCCTATTCAAGGTGAATTGGTGAAATTCCACGACCATCAGTGCTTATGGCGGGAAATAGCTGCAAATATTTAAATTCCTGCTTTTCATTTTTTCCTCTAAATGTTTTATCATGTGTTTTGCTTTAGTCAATTAATAACCTCTACCTAGGTTTCTTTTAGTAGTTTTTATATTTAAATATTGGCTTTACTAGGTTTCTCTCTGCAGCTAGTAGTTTTGCTGAATCTTCTTTTTGTAGATGAACTTGGAGAAAAGCACAAAGACACAGTTTGATACCAAATATATTTTGACATTTCAATTTTGTGATGTTTTGATGAAATATCTGTTAGCTTAAAATACTTATTAATACTTGCATTCATATAACTAAATTATCTGTAATATAGTGGTGGCAAATTAGGTGGATGTCAGGAAATGGCCTACATACCTAATGTATTTTATCTTAGCATCATTCAGTGTTTTTCTTGTTAGCCTCATCGGCCCAGGAATTTAAATGGGAGGGTGGGTATCAAAGTCATCGCATTTCAGCATCCCTGCATCCACCTTTGTGCCTGCAATGATGCAGCTCCCAGCCCAGCTCTTCACTCAAGAGCTTGGAGTTTGCCCAGGCAGGTCCTTGAGCACTTTTCCTTGCCCTTTTCCTTGAGCACTACCAAGGGAGTGGTGTCAAGAGTCACACTTAAAATTTAGAATCTCCAGATTTAGATCTATGTTTAGATTCTACATCTAAAATTTAGAATCTTCCAGAATGATGATGACAGGAATGTGACTGTCCACAGCAGGTTAGTTGGATGATATTTATAATGGAAATGCAGTCATTGCTTGGGGTAAAATCCTTTTTTAAACTCTGAAATTGGGGTGGCTCTACATATGCGAGAAGATTCAGGAATTGTTAAGGGTGCTGTGTCATGACTGGACTGGGTATCCCAAAGTGTTATCTCCATGAACAGAGGTCTGTAGTCTCCTTCCTGCCCTCACAGGTGGCAGCTGTTTGTCTTATTCATATGAGATGAGTTTGGATGAAACAAACTCAACATTGTTCTGTTCTTTCCTTTGTCATATGATATGTGAAGGAAGAGTGAAAGGGGGAAAGGAAAGTAATATTTTCCCATTTCACAGAATCACAGAATTGTTAAGGTTGGAAGGGACCTCTAGAGGTCATCTAGTCCAACCCCCCTGCACACGCAGGGTCACCTAAAGCACGTGGCACAGGGTGGCATCCAAGAGAGTTTTGAAGATCTCCAGAGAAGGAGACTCCACAACCTCTCTGGGCAGCCTGTTCCAGGGCTCTGTCACCCTCACTGTTAAGAAATTTTTCCACCTTATTTCTCTCCAATGTGTTT